CAAAGTTTCTACATTAGTATTCCTTATTATAATGTTAAAACTGGTACATTCCATCTATAGATATAATTTAAAACCAGTTACAAAATGGAAGTGCATACCTGCATTTCCCATCTGTCATAAAGAAGCAATATCCAAAATATAAAAAATTTAGCTTCTACTGATTCAAAAAAGAGGGAGCCAAGCCACAATTAGTTGAAAAAAACTTGAAAACAGAATTCTCAGGTCAGTAAACTCATGAATATTATGCTATGTTACATACAACGTTGCTAATAATAAAATAAATGCAAATTAGAACACCACCACTGTTTCACATACATACAAGTAGTAAAATTTCATCCATCACACAGTGCGTCAATGCTCTGGGGAATGGAGACTCTTCTCCAGAGTTAGTGTGGGCATTATTGGCTTAACTCCTTCAGGGGACAATATGGTCCCATGAACTAAACATGATGATGTGTGAAAAGGAGGATCCAGAAATTCAATTCCTCACTTTCTGTTCATAGGAACAAGGATATTGCCTAAGTGTGTTCGTGGCAGTATTAATAGGGGGAGGAAAATATTGGAAACAACATAAATGCCCATCTATGAGATCAGAGGTTAAACTCAAAAAGTCCACTACGTTGACACAAAGAAATAACACACAGTGGTGAAACTGAATGAACTAGAGGTCCATGTGTAAAAGGAAATTTTTCAGAAACAATTGAGAGAAAAATCATGATACAGAGTTAGACAGTATATTGATATATGTATAAATATTTTGCACTTTCAGAAAGTAATATATAGTGTTAAAAGTGTATACATATAGGGCCCAGCCCCATGGTGGTGTGGTTAAATTCCGCACACTCTGCTTCAGCGGCCCCGGGTTTGCAGGTTTGGATCCCAGGGTGGATCTACTCCACTCACCAGCCATGTTTTGGCGGTGTCCCACGTACAAAGTAGAGGAGGATTGGCACAGATGTTCGCTCGGGGCTAATCTTCCTCAAGCAAAAAAAAGAGGAAGATTAGCACGGGATGTTAGCTCAGGGCAAATCTTCCTCAGGAAAAAAAAAATTGTATATATATTTGTTAAAATTTCTTAAATGCTTGGAAATGAGAATGATGAAATTATGGTTGATTATATCAGGTAGACACATGTACGATAAAATAAAAATGCAGAGGAAAAGTAAAGAGGAACTCAGTATCCCTTCGTATCTTGCGAAAGGGGCAGATGGTTAGATCAAATGCAATTGCAGTGAACTGATTAGCTTAGTACCAGTGCTTGAGCAGGGCATCCTGAGGCAACAAAAAAGTCAGCAGGAGAGGGAAACCTCCCCTTCTTAGTACCCTGCCTCAGTTATCCTGGAGGTCCCAAGGTTTCCCATGGAATTTTCTCAGAATCCACAATCTGAGCTGAGAAGGACAGCTGGATCATTATCATCCTCAGACCTTTTGATCCTTTCTCCATGTGTCCCTATTTAAAAGAGGTCATGGATATGACTATTGCATCATGAATTTCCAGACACTTAATGGGTCACATGTTTGTGGCCCCTCCTGAAAAACCAATGTCCAAATCCAAAAGTACGTCCTAACGTCAACTTTTGTAAACTGCTTGTGGTTCATGCTGACTCACTGATCACCTTCCTCTTCAACCCAAAGATAATGCACAAGAAATCTCAGGACTTTGGACATGGAAGGGTGGCCCAGAGCTGCCCTGTGAAGTGTAGGGGTGGGGCTTTTGTGCTCCAGCCCTTGGGCTTAAATAAGGAATAGGAGAGCCTGGAACTAAGGAAGCCCCAGCAACTCCAGACCCCACCACCTTTTAGCAAGACTGACAGAGAGAAGGAACAAGAAAAAGGAGGAATTTGGATGGTTGAAACCATCCTTAGAACTGGATCCCAAGGACTTTGGAAGCTTGAACATTGGAATTCCAATGTCTTCTTTTTTATTCCACGTGCACAGCCATCTCCAAGGTCAGACAGAGAAATTCAGCAGAAATATACAAAGAGCTCAATATCCTCTAGCGCTCCGCTCCTCACTCAGAAGCATAAAATAATATATTATCTTAAAAATATATATTTATTATGTATACTATATATATAACTTTAAACACATATTATTGTTAAAGTATGTTATGTATATAAAACACGTGTATATTAAAAATATGTATATATGTTAAAATTTCTTAAATGTTTGGGAAAGAAAAATATTCATTCACTGTAGTCCTGGAGAGCCATTTGCGGGGAGATGTAAGCCCTTGCTTCCAAGCCCCCAAGGAGGGGCAGGAAGTGGAGTCATATTCAGACACTTAGCATGGTTTCTTGTGTAAGCAAGAAGAGATGCAGAGGAAGATTCTACTCCAGAATATCCCAGGAGACTTCAAGAGAATCAAGAGCAGAATTGGAAGGAAATGCCAGAATCTTGTGCTCTGAGGGTGTTTCCCCCTCTGGTCCTTGGTTCTGTTGCTTTTCACAGGTGTCCTGATTTGCGTTACTTCTATTTCCCTCATGAGGGGGGATTATCTTAAAGTCTAGGATGACCAATGGGATTCCTGAGATATGTGTACTTTTCTTTCTTTTTGTGCTATCCTTTACATGTCCACCAGCAACAGCTGTGGGGGAATTTCTGTGCACATGTTCAAGTGTCTTCTAGGAGACAGATATGCAAGAACATGCATCATCTTCCAACTTTTGATAAAGATACCCTAATTGTCTGAAAAAGTCATTGTCCATTTATATCCCTGGCAAGCATGAATGAAATGTTGTATTTCTCCTGATCTTAAAAGGAGACAATATTAGTAAACTTTTAATTTAACCAGCTGATGGTCACTCACAAACATAACTATATTTTCTAACTTCTTTTTCTTTGGCCACCATTGAGGATGGATGCCTCTTTATATGGGAAATGAGCACTTTTTTTGCTTTACTCTGAAATGTTTTCATAGGTTCTATGTTGTCTTTCATTGAGTTGTTTGTCTTTTTACTTTTCATCAAGAGTAAAACATATTTTCCTTGAATGGTGTTTCTCACATAGCATCCTACCAGGAGGATGCCCATCCATATGTCCAGGAAAAGATCCATCTTGGATCTGTTCTCACTAGTCATCTACCTGTCAAGAAACCTGAGGTGAGACCCACCTACCTGGCATAGCTTTCCATGCAAAGACTCGTACTGGGTTCCCTCTTACCTCATGCACCACACTAAAGATGGGAGGTGGACTTCTTGACGGGCCCCATGCTGCACCCGAGCACTTTGTCCAGGACCCTACTCTCATTGCCTTGCTAACAGTCACAATTTGTACAAGGTTTGCAGTGTCCGGCAGGACTATCCCAGTGAAGAGAAATAGAGAGAGGCAAAACACTTGGCAGCCCCCACAATATGGAAGGGATTCTAACATCTTAAGCAAGCAGGGTAAGGGCTATGAGGCATTTCCCCCCTTGGTTTTTGAGATGAAATAAACATATAACATTGTGTAAGTTCCCCCAATTCTCCTTCACTCCAACATGACCAGTTGGAATCTTCACATTTTAAAGAAAAATCTACCTTCTACGAATCCATGCAATTTTATCCCAGATAGCACGTGGTTGATTTTTTTTTTGATATCAATACTCATCTCATTGTTTTAAATCAGTGACAAGTTTTTGTGCTCTCCTTTGACTCAAACCAGGCCCATTTGCCCATTTCTACACGCAAATGTTTTAAATATGCTAATATTCCTCCATGTAATCATGTTTGAAATGACTACCATCTCTCTAATGACATTTAAATTTTGTAAGTTAGCGCGATGCTCCTAACTGAACCTGAATTTGGTTTATCAGTTTCTGAGAAGAACATCACATCTCATTACAGCATACACTGTCAGAGGTTTCACGCAATTGACTTGTGTTATCTCGTGTGATATTAACTTTGATCAGTTACTTAATAGAGTGTTTACGAGGCTTCCACACCATAAAGTTACTTTGCTGTGTGGTGTGTTTTTGGGCTGGGGCCAGGGTGTTGAATTAAATTCCACCAACTAGATGACTGAGTAGCCACATATAACATTTGCCATTTTTTGTGTGGAATCTGCGTACCTCACTCTCTTTTATTTGCTGATTCAAGTAATTATTCACATCAGCATGAGCTCATTTATATTTGTTTCATAGGAGTGTCTTGGTTATGCTAATGAGGTAACTGTAATGTGTGTGTGTGTGTGTGTGTGTGTTTGTGTCCCTACAGGGGTCTGGACATTAGAAAGAATAACCACGTCATCGCATAGAAATAGTTCACTGCCCAATCTCCAGGGTGGGGATGAAGTTCAAATATTATAACTTAGCCCAAAATGCTCCTAATGGAACCTGAATTTGCACTCCACCTTCATCCCACACTACTTAATTGTTACCTGAGAAAATTCTTTTCTTCACTTTCTCTTTTTTTCTTCTTCTTCTCCCCAAAGCCCCACAGTACATAGTTGTATATTCTAGTTGTGAGTGTCTCTGGTTGTGCTATGTGGGATGCCGCCTCAGCATGGCCTGATGAGCGGTGCCATGTCCATACTCAGGATCTGAATTGGTGAAACCCCGGCCCAGCAAAAGGGAGCACGTGAACTCAACCACTCAGCCACGGGGCTGGCCCCTCTTCACTTTCTTGAATTGCCATCTCACGTTTCATTTTGTCCTGTAACTTTTCCAACAATTCCCTTCTTAGTTAATTTCTGGACAGATTTAATACGGCAGATTAAAAGTTACACACTCTAAGATTTCCCCACGACCTCTAGATTTGTTTCAGGAACAATTTATTTTTTATTGCAGAGACTCTGAGCTTCTCCATTGAAAGTGTGAATAAAATTTCAATTACGTAAGTATTTTCATAATAATTATGTGAGGTTTCACTTACATTTACTATTACTATTTATTGTTTATTTGGGGAACAGAAGCTTACTCTCCCTTGCTTACCACGTTCTCAAAAGGTGGTTGTTGCATAATTATGCATGCAATTCAGGGGATGATTGAGTAAATGATGCAACACTGTGCCAAAATATACAATTTATTTGTTTGTTATGAGTTTAGGGGGTTTTGAAATCCTCAAAGGGGCAAAGCAGAGCCTGGGCATACTGGAGTCACGGTTCATGAGAATAAATGGGCAGGCAGTTGCGAAACATCCATTAATCCAGGCTGAGATATTCAACAGCAGCCAATTTGGATTATCAAAAATATCAATACAAATTTGAAAGATGGAGGAGAGAGAGTAAAAAGACACAAAGGTGCTCACCAGGACAAGGATACCTTGGGTGGCTCTGGACTCAGGGGAGGATCTAGGGGAGATGTTGGTCCTGCGAATGTGTTTGACTCTCTGCTTGTGTCTGTACAGGATGAAAACCATTAAGCCACTGGCCCAGAGCATGAGCCCAAAACAGAAAATATCAGGGACTGATAGCAGTGCTGCATATAATGAGTCTCTGGTTTTGTCATGACGAACAGCAGAACAGTATCCAAAATGTTTTTGGTTTGTGATGTTTTTCTTGCTCCAATTGCTACTCACAAACACGGCATACATGACGTTTATCAGCATTTGCAGGATCCAGCACAGGAAAAGTGAAATGACAATGACACTGACAGCTTTCACTTTAAGCTCTGCCCACCTGGAGTTTCTGGAGCTTATTGTGATGGCCTGGAAGATACTCAAGAGGCAGGTGGTGCCAAGGGTCACACCTCTGCCCACTCTGTGAAGACAGAAAAGAAGTTTACACCCAAGGTCACTGGGAAAATGGTTCCACCCGAAGGCTGCCATTGTCTGCGGGACTCCTTTACAGAGGAGGGTCAAGGAGTTGGCTACAATCATGTGATTAAGAATCAGATCCTTGGACCTTAACCTGCACCCAGTGAAGTAAAGGAAGAGATGATGGTAAAGAAGAGAGAAATTCCCCAAGATTCCAACCACGGTCTGGATTAAGAAGAGCATTCCTATAACCAAATCTCTGGAGGCCATTCTGCCAGTTTCTAGACACCGTGAATTGTCTTCAGAACCAGAGGATCCTGCATGGGAATAGGAGGCGTGGGCTTCATGTATCATGTCAACTGAAAGCAATAGTCTCCACTTCTCATTAGCTTCTCCTTAGAAATGGTGTTGGGAAAACTGGATGTCCACAGGTCAAAGAATGATATTAGACCCCTGTCTTACACCATACACAAAAATCAACTCAAAATGCGTTAAAGACTTAACCGTAAGAACTGAAACAGTAAAACCCCTTCAAGAAAACAAAGGGGAAAATCTTCTTGACATTGGTCTTGGCAACAATTTCCTGGATATGATACCAACAGCACAGGCAACAAATCCAAAAAAGGACGTGTGGGACCACATCAAACTAAAAAGCTTCTGCAGAGCAAAGGAAATAATCACCAAAACAAAAAGGCAGCCTACTGAATGGGAGAAAATATTTGCAAACCACCTATCCAATATGGGGTCAATATGCCAAGTATATGACTCTCCTATAACTCAACAGAAGAAACATGAAACAACCCAATTAACAAATGAGCAAAGTTCTTGAATAGACATTTCTCCAAAGAACAGATAAGCGACTGACAAGTATATGGAAAAGTGCTCAACACTATTAATTGTCAGGCAAATGCAGATCAAAACCACAATGAGATGGTACTTCACATCTGTTAGGGCGGCTAGTATCCAAAAAAGACAAAAGAGAATCAGTATTGGTGAGGACATGGAAAATTTGGAGCCGTTATACATGATTGGTAGAAATATGGAATATTGCAGCTGCTATGGAAAACAATGTGGAGATTCCTTAAAAAATTATAATAGAAGTATTCCATCATCAGGCAATCCCACTCCTTGGTATATATCTGAAAGAATTTAAATCAAGATCTCAAAGAGATATCTGCATGCCCATGTTCATTACAACATCATTCACAATAGCCAAGGTATGGAAATAATTTTGAAATGTCCATTGACTAATGAATGGATAAAGAAAAGGTGGTATACACGTATAATAAAGTATTATGCAAGCTTCAAAAAGAAGGATATTCTACCCGGGTGAACATAGAGGACATTAAGTTAAGTGAAATAAGCTGTCACAGAAGGAAAAATATTGTATGATTCCACTTATATGAGAAATCTAAAACAATCAAATTCACAGAAGAGAGAAGAGAATGGCGGTTGCTAGGGGCTGGAGAGAAGGGGCAATGGAGGATTGCTGTTCAATGTGTGTCAAGTTCTGGTTATGCAAGATGAGTAAGTTGTAGAGATGAGTGGTACAATGTAGTGCCTATTGTTAACAGCACAGTGTTGTGCACTTTAAAACATTTTAAGAGAATATATTTCATGTAAGTGTTCTTACCTCAATCACACACACACACACACACACACACACACGAGCACAAGGAACTTTTTGGAAGTGATGGACAAGTTTAGCACCTTGATTGTGGTGATGGCATCACGGAGGTATGCGTATGTCCAAACTCATCAGAACGTATACATTAAATATGTGCCATTTTTGGTATATCAATTATACATAAATAAAGCTTAAAAGGAAAAACATTTAAAGTTGCTATTTTATTATGAGACTTTCAAGAGTTGAATGTATAACCTTTGAAGAGCACTTACAATGTATGAATCATTGCTATAAATGTCAAACCTGCGGTAACTTATTTTCAACAAATCTATGTGACATCACCTCTGTTACTTTCATCTTAAAGACAAGGAGAACATAAAGAAGATAAGTGGTTTGTCTAAATTCATATCCTGCTGAGGGCAAAGTGTGGACTTGAGTCTGGCTGGGTTGTTTGTAGGCAGCGCATTTCACCCCTATGATATACTAAGAAAGCTAGATGCCTCTGTTCTTGGAATCATCTCTATATATAGTTTTGTTTTTAGCTTTGTCATTTAATTTTTGTTTGGTAGTACATTACATTATAATTTTTGTTGTAACATTTTTCCATGATAAGCAAAGATCAATTCTATAGGCCAATATTAAAATGGATAAAGCTTTAGAGATTTATGGAAATGCAGATGCACTGATTGCAGCTTTGTCCTACAGGAACCTGTCCCATGACAGGCTGAACTGAAGGAATGCAAAAATAACTCAATATTAGGATAGAAACAGAAAGCAAAAACATTTTGGGCATTTGCCTTTATTCCAGGAACAGAAGTATAATGACACCTTTCACAGTCTCATGTCTTGCCCTAAAAGATGGGACATTGACTACTAATGTGCAAGGTTAAAAAGATTGCTAATTTTAGATCATACACTTATCTATCAATCGCTCATTATAAACTATTAGCCATGTGGTAAGTTTTCTGAAGTATATTAAAATATGACATTGGCAAATTGGAAACACTAATGTGTGAATATTGTATGCTTTATAAATTGACGCTATAGAATTTGTGATTGATATTAGAGAAAATATCACAGGATATATTTGAGCCCGACAGCTACTGTCTGAAACCCATTATTATAAAGTGATCTTTTCCTTAAATGTTGTTTCCCTAGCTTCAAGAGAGAAAAGATTCTCACCATAAGCAACAGACCACGATGTTTTCAGTAGAGACACAACCATCTCCATTAAGCACAAGATAGTCTCAGAATTAGAGAAAACCTTTCTATTGCAACAGTTGTCATTGGCATGCATTGTTTCTTCATAAGATTACACGATTCCCACAGATTTCTTTATCCTAGTCTTCTTTACATGCACGAAGGAATTATAGGCACACCTCTTGCAATCCTAAAAGTTTTGTCTGTGATTCCTGTAAGTTAGGCTGAAAGCAATTGGATTCAGAACTACAGGTCTTAATTACCTTAAAAATCAGGATTTATTTTCAATGGCGTAAACACCAACAATCACTTTCATTGTGGATTATACTAAATCACATTAGTTGCTATCAGGGATTGGTGTAAAATCTCCAACCCCATCTCTTTTTACTAACTCAGCTTTTGCTTCTGAATGCTTCCTCCTCCTGTGTCGCTTTGGCACTAGATCAATTACAAACCCAGAACAATCCCGTTTTTCGACATGACCGCTCACCTATATGTACTCCTGACAGGTGTCCATACCTTACAGACTTCGCCTTCAGACTGAAATAGAAAAGATTCTCCTGGATTTGTCCTGCTATCGGGGTGGTGAGCTCAGTGTGACGGTCCTGGCAGCTGGTACAGGGAGGGAGGGAGGCAGCCAGACCCTGACATATGGGGTAGTGATGCAGTGACCTCACCTCCCGCAGGAACTGCAATTATTATTTCACCTATAGTGGCAGTGACACTGAAGGCTCGGGGAGATGAGAACATTTAGGAAAAACTTTTTTTCCGAAGTTGCTAATTACCGAAACCAATTACAAGTTTCTAATTAGTATTTACAGGGGGACCCTGAAGTGATTGGTAGAGGCTATCTTCAATTCCTAGAGGTCTCAGTGGATGCTCTGCTGTGCTGGCAAGTTCTTCCGCCCCAAAGTGAGTTCTTCCTAACCACTGAGCTGAACGATCATTCAATCATAAGCAGAGAAATGGAACCAAAGAACCTGAGAAGGCTTTTCAAAAAGAAAGTGAAAGGAGGAACATGATGGAAGCACCCAATGCCAATGAATTTGGAAGTTTAGAGAAAATAGATCAGGTAGTCTAACATGCCGTTCCTTTATCTAAGAGAGAAGCAAATTCTGCTTCCTCAATTCCAGAGCAGTGGCTGGTTACCACGGTCTTCTCCACTTATTTTTTGCCGAATTTTCATGAATAAGCACTGGCTGCTCTTGTAATTCACGGGGAAATATCAAGTAGGAGTTCAGATTGACCCTTTGGTTTTTCCTACCAACAAATCTGCATTTTATCCAGGTCCACTATCCAATGCATCTCAATTTGCAAGACTGGGATTAGTGCCATAATGGTGGACACCCCCTTCCACACATGCATGTGAGCACACACACATTTACATATGCAGATATAAACACACACATGCACACCCATACACATCAAATACACGGTGCCTCCTAAACATCCCAGAGCTGCCCCCTCAGCAGCGTGTAGCTGGGCATTTGGCCTCAGGACAGGTTTACAGGTTCGAATGAGTCTTGTGCACACCAGAACTCTGCAGTCCCAGCACCTCTCCCCTACCAGCGTCAGGGCCTGTCACGGAGGCCCAGGCTTTGGGGCTTCACCAACATAGCTCCTCTGGGTTCCGCTGACCTCCGCTCCCCGGCTGCTTTCAGAAATGCCCCTGCTGTCCCCAGAGAGGAGGCCCTCACCGCATGAAGTGTTATAGACTTGGTTTTGGGGGAGTCTCTGAAACTCTCTCTCAATGTCCCCCAACTCCATCCTCAATCCCCAAATGCTCCCTGGATTCTGGGCTCTCTAAAGCCCTCTCAATTGCTGAACGGCTCCTTCCCTGCCCATGCCTGCATGCCTGCTTCCTTCCAGGTCCCCTCTGGGTAAAAAGCAGGAACCCATTTGTGCTATCAGGGAATCTGGACCTGATGTCCAACCTTGTTGAGTTCTCCCCATCTGAGCTGGGCTCTGATTCTGTGGATAAATGAAGAATTTGTGTGACCCACTGCCCCTCAGGGACACCACACGCCCCAGTTCATCCCTGCACACAATGAGCCAGACTGTTCTTTAAAAAAAAGTTGGTTTTAATTGAGGTGTAATTGACATACAACATGATATTAGTTTCAAGTGTACAATATAATGATTCGATATTTCTGTATACTGCAAAATCACCACCACAATAAGTCTAGGTAATGTCGCTCACCATACATAGTTAGAAAATGTTTTTCTTGTGACAAGGTCTTTTGAAATTTGCTCTCTTAGCAACTTTCAAATAAGGAATTAAGTATTATTAACTATAGTCACCATGCTGTACATTACACCCCATGACTTATGTATTCTATAACTGGAAGTTTGTACCTTTGATCACCTTCATGCATTTCATATCTTGCCCACATGACACACCTCTGGCAATCACCAATGTGTTCTCTGTATCTATGAGCTCATT